TATAAATTTCCATAGGGTTACATATAATCCTTTGAAGTTATCTATGTTTTTCATGGAGACATCTTCCAGGTTTGAAGATGTCCCCATAAAAAGTTAGTTCGGTTCTTGCGAATGCACACATTTCTGCTAAACTCGATTTAACCGTATTTTAGCTCCAGAAGGACTTCTATAAATTATTTGTCAGACCTAATTCAGAATTAATATTCATATAGATCGTACACACAACTGTGCCCGGTATATGGCAACAGGCTCATCCCCTATTACATGGGACTCATAACATAAATAGTGAAAAGTGGGGTGTTACATTGTACAGTGGTACAATGTGCACCTTTGCCTACCCCTTCGGGGATAAAAGGCGTGATGTTATGTTATCTTATAGATCGTTCACACTATTAATAAATAACAAGAATCTAAACTCAACGAACTTCCTCCGTGACAAACAGGGCCTCCGTCTGCAGTTAACACCAATTTCGAAAGTGCAGCTTACAATGCAGTTACATACAATATTATGAACAATGTAATCTCAACATTTATATTATAACGTTACATAAAGTTTTCACTTCCTCCAATTTCTCTTTTAGCCGCCTGTCTTGTCTTGTTATAGACTATTTATCAACTACTATCTGACCTGGCAGACTTTGTATTGCCTCAAAGAAATATTTCTCATCTTTTAAACCTCCCCTGGACTTCCACTAATAATTTAAGATCAATATAAGCTGAAACCGTCCAGCTGTTTTTGAGTTTTAGCGAAACTAACGAACGAACAATACACAAGTGATGTGTATTTTTCAACGGGGGCTACTGTTTTTGTAGTCACTGAACTAACTAACTAGATGGCGCAAATGTCGCAACATAATTTTTGTGTTCAATCACTGCAGCTGTCAAATATTGACCATCCAATGTTCTGAGCCTGTGACACTAGCTAATTCCCTATTAGACGAAAAACGAGGTGCACACTAGCGACATCTAGTGAGCAAAAATAGAGTAGCCCCCATTGTCTGTCTATGTATCTGTTTATACTTTATACGGAAGTCCACGATACGGTAGAAGGTAACCAGTAACCAATTAATCTTATTGAGTGTTCTATAACTGATATAATTACTTAATACATAATTTTTACGTTTATTGGAAATATGACCTCTATGAAGGTGAAGTGGTTTTAATCAAAGGACTTCTCTTTTTAGTCTTACTTTTTGATTTACATGACTGCCTCGTTGTCCGAGTGGTCGCAAGTGCGACTGTCGGCCGGGCAAGGGGTCATAAATAGGGGGATAAAAAGGCGTGATGTTATGTTATGATTGTTTTGTGCCGATTACTGCACACCTTTATTTAAAAAAAATAGGTCTTTAGTCTGTTTTCATTTTGTTTTTGTCTGCAATGTGCTGGTTGAATTGATTAGCTTGCATTGTGTCAAAAAGGCTTGTTCGATTTCGAATCTCGATAGCCAATAGTGATAAGTTTTAACCTCTAAGAAGGAAGCGCACATAAGTCTTTACTGAGTATAATATAATATGGAGTTTACTCATCTAATAAACATTAATGTAGTTTAGTATTTAGATTGTTGGTTAGACAAAACTTAATTGTCCTGAACAACGTAATGGCGTCGTCTGCTTCCTCCATATTATATGTAATACTGATGCAACTGATCTCACTCAACTGTTCCTTTGTCTTCACGCCATGTGTCACAGTAGATAAACAGTAATACATGTTATCGTAAACACGGAAATATGGTAGAAGAAGTAGAAGAAATTTTCCTACTTTTTTGTACTAAAATGTTGTGTCACTTTATGAGTTACGATACGATACGATATCGTTTTGGTTCTTACCTACATTTTATTGAAAGTGTGAGACTTTATATTGCAAGTGTGAGACGTTTTTTTTTATTTCTGGTGCTTGGTGAACTTGTTTAAAAATAAAAGCTGAATTCAGGAGTTCTGTGGTGTTCTGAAATGATTATCTAATTTTCTGGGTATGCCCTTAAAGCCAGTTCTATCCAGAATCCGTCATGTAATTTTTGTCATCACATTATTTACCATGTTCCTTGTAGTTTTTGTAGGTTTTATAAATTGGATAAATACATTATCTTAACCTTTTGTATGTCTAAACGCGGATCCACGTGGGACACAACGTATTTTCTATTATGTCTCATATCAGTGCATTCAAGCGGTTAATAATTGGGTACTTGCCAACTAGTCAAATTCAAAACTTTTTCGAACTGTCAAAAACGACAGTTTTCTATGAATTTTGTTCAAGATTGTGTCGTCAGGTTTTTTAGCGTCAAACAGCTTACTTATTTCTTAAAAAATTACTGGTTTAATACTAAAATAAATTAATACTAAAATTAAGTTGGTCATAAAATCAATGAATAAAAGTGTGATTATTTTTTAATACGTTATTGTATTCAACAGTCGAAATAATTTATTTTATGAAGGCAAGTAGTCAATTGTCTACAAATACGACTTACTTAGTATCAGACCCTAAGTCCAAGTCTTCGTCTCTTTCGGTTACCTAAAATTCAATTTCAAAATCTCTTTCATACCTATTTCCGCATTTGCATCACAAAATTTCTAGGTTTTCAGCTTTAATAATTCAAGACAATGGTTTAATTGTTAACTTAGTGTACGTACTTGTATGCAACATACTAGTTACCAGTCCACTTGGGTAAGAGATTCCATTGTTAAGTCTTTCATAATAACTATTGTTTCAAATTTTTTATCATACGTTCGCCAGTTTCGTTCGCCCTGTTATGGATATGGAGTTATGGCGAAAATTTGCTTCGTTAAATATATATGTAGTTGTAGCTGTATGTGACTTAGATAAAGTTTGACCTGCTTTGGTATCTACAGGTCGTGAATTTTTATGTGTTGCTGTATGCAAAATGAAATGGTTTTTGCATGAAATGCTTTGTTAGAATTTCCTCTGTATTTCCTTTCTTAAACCATCTTTGCAGGAGATTCTAGTATAGACGTAAAGGGCATGTCAGGCACATCATTAAAAAAAGCCATTATATAAACAAATGCAGTATGAAATTCATACTTACATTCCCTCTCGTAAAAACTTTGACGTAATTAGAACAATGCTATCAACGCAATGCCATGCCATGCAATGATTTTATAATCACTTCCACGTCATGGTTCAGTCCCTGAACATGATTTGAGGGACTTTTTATAAGGACTACTCGTCCGTTACCTCAGCATGATAACACTGTTCATTTACTTGCATCTTTCAATATAATTGGGTAGTAGTAGGTTTCAAATATTCTCATAATCTCTATCCTTATTTTAATTTAAAACAATTTCAGTTTCTGTATCCTTCGATTTTTTTGGATTAAATTTGTACTTTTAATTTTAAGTTAATGAATCCGGATTTCCTACAATCAATATTATGATTTTACACAAAAACAACGATGTTACATAAATTCAGTACTTTACGCGTGCGTTTAAAGGAAATAAGCCATTGTCCGTGATTATAGTACTAATTCTGAAACTGGTATAAAAATGTGCAATTTGAATCGTAAATTCTTGCATTATACGGCCTTGCTTGTACAATTTGTGCTAACATGGAATACTAAACAGGGTTCTGATAGACCGTTACAATAAAAATCGGTTTAAAATGGAATCTTTAGGGTCTTTTGTGAAGCTTTGGTGAACCTATAAATAACCGTTTCAATTCCAATCACCAACATTTACCATACCATCTGACAATTTATCTCACTATCAAATAAGGTCCCTGAATTCATAACATCATAACATCATGCCTTTTTATGACCGAAGGGGTAGGCAGAGGTGCACATTTCGGCACTTAAAATTCCTTGAATTAATTATTCACTGAATTCCCTAAAAGTCCCTGAATTCACCGGTTATAAAATTGTCTTCCCTTACGATATTTGTCTTATTGTACCTGATTTCGTCAACATCTCGATTGTAATAGATGTGCCTATGTGCTAAATTATGAGCAAGTACAATTCCACTCTAAAAACCTAATTCGTTGTGAAGTAGAATGTACTTAGTTTATCTGTACCTCTGCTTATTTCGTAGGTAGGAGAATAACAGCCGATGTTATGCTGCACATTGCGAATTAGCGATTCTTTATGGCATTGCAAAAAGTGCGAATGTTAAACTTGTACGTATGCACACTGCACAGCGTAACAATAGTTTTGAAACAATGGCTTTTTACAATTCAACGCCCGTACTATAGCTATAAATATTTAGATCCCCGCCAAATTGGACGGTGTTGCGGAATCCGTAATGTTTACCAATTGCTGCGCCTAAATCTGGTAAATTATGACTTCTCTTTATTACTTTGGGACATAGTATACAGGATATAGTAGGACATAGACATGGGATAGACAACATAGGCAGATGCCTATGTTGTCTAAAGCTTTAAGTATTTGTTTAAAGGTTTTCATCGTGTTTCTTCTTCGTTTTCTGTAGCAATGTTGATGTTGTTCAAAAAAAGACACTCCAATTTAATTTATAATTGGCGTAGTGGCCACAAACTGCGCAACATTCTAATGATGGGCCACAGTATCCTTTTCGGAAACTTAAACCCGTCCCGCAAACATAAGGATTGTATTAAAACCTCTTTTTAAAGAGGGAGGCTTTCGATCAGCAATGGACATTTCATGACGATGATGAATGTTTAGTTATAAATTAGAGGTAGCTGTACTTTACATATTAAAATCATTTTCCTGTGGATTTTACCATACAATTTTATGTAATTGCTTAAGTTGTAAATACCAAACTACTTTTCTTGTTTGTCGACTCTTCTGCAAATGTTTACAAAACTGATTAAGTTGCGGATTACCTATTTGTTGTGGCTTTTGGTTGGGAGTATGCATTGTTTGAAACCTTGTGGTCAATTATAATTGACATCATACCAGTATTTCTGTGTAAAATAAATGAAAAATTAATGGTATGCTATTTGAATACATAATTCCAATACCTATTCGAGTTCGACATTCGACAATAACTTATTTTTTGACTTTCTTTCTTTTCCAGGAGTCACTAACAGATTGGGAGAGAGGTGTAACAGACGTCCAGGTGCCACCAGTAGCCGGGGCGTTAAACCGCAAATGGAGCGCGCGGACAGCTGCGCACGCGCAAGACACTGCCACCGACCAATCAGCGCCTGTCAACAACAGCACTGATGCTTGCAAGCTGCTTATTGTAAGTACTATAGTATATGTATTTTTGTACCAATTATTGATCGAGTTGCAATAAGCACGATACCAATAAATGGAGTTTCGGTGCCTATTCACTTGCAGGATAGGCGATTTATTATTCAGTTTTGTGATTTTTGAGGTCTCAGTAATGTTGCCTAAATTCTTTTCAATATCCAATGCCAATCAACCTGACCTCATGGGGAAAAGTGAATGAAGATAATGAAAGTAATTAAGGTTATCTAAACACCCCTTTTTGAGGTAGAAAATCATCCAATAACTCGGGTGAGGCGAGAGTGTCAGATTCTTATTGACTAAAAACCACCCCGTTCCTACTCCTATACTTCAAGCCGGAGCCCCGGCAACCCGATCAGTTCTCTGTGGCTCCGATCTGAACAACCCAGGCCTAACATTTCTGAGAATAAAAGGCAAGTGAATTACTCTTCAAAGTCGTCCATGGTTTTCCTTAATGGTGTCATCATATTATGCGGAGATAGCGTGATACCAAACTTCACATACAGGAATATTCGGGTTAATTGATGTCAAATGTCTTCAATTATCTAACAAGTACTTTACTGTAATCATTGTATTGTTTTCTTGTCCTCTTGTGCCCGTTTTGAATCAAATCTCAGAGCGTAGGTTTGGGAATATCAATCCTAGTTGACAGGTCTTAGGTCTCAATATTCTAATGAGGGTGATGTCATTCTTGGTTGAAATAGTTGACTCATTTGTTCTAAGGCAACCTCTCCAAATCTTATTAGCTTAATACTACATAGATTAATCTTATTACTACATAGTATAAAACAAAGTCGCTTTCTCTGTCCCTATGTCCCTTTGTATGCTTAAATCTTTGAAACTACGCAACGGATTTTGGTGCGGTTTTTTTTAATAGATAGAGTGATTCAAGAGGAAGGTTTATATGTAGGTATAATACATGCATATTGCACCCGTGCGAAGCCGGGGCGGGTCGCTAGTTGTCAATAAAACTGTTGAAGAATTTAATCTTATTTGTAAAAAATATAATCTAATAATTAACTGCAAATCGCCCGGCTTAGTTCTTTACACAATTAAGGTAGAAGACTAAAGGGTTTCCAAAATGCTAACGTATAGTCTATGGATCAAATCAACCCAACAACAAAAATATCTCTTGAGCGTAACCGACTTAAAAATCCCTAAGAGTTTTAATTATTTCTATGATATTTATTTCCAGTATATTGGCGATGCCAAAACTCCGATGTGGCGTCTGAACCTCTGCGGAGGTAACGCTGCAGCGGTGGCAGCGAGGGCTGGTACCAAGCTGCTGCCCTCAAAATTGAGGATCGTGTGGAACCCCCCCACCTCCCCTTACCAACACACCGAGAAGTTGCGGCTGGTGGTCACTGCTGTTAATAGTGGTAAGTGATCAGAAAATTTTGACATAGGACTCCGGAATGTTAAGTAAACCCTGTAATTCCAATTCCAATTTTAAATAGTAATAAAAGTAATAAAGTTGACAATATGAGTATGCCTGATGTGTAAGAGCTAATGCTATTGCTGACTCTGTGCAGTTTAATAACATTAACATAACTTTTCGAGGATGATCGATTAGTTTCAAGCTACTATCGGAGTTCATAACCAAAGGCAACCCCGAACTATCCTAATTATCAGTCTTTTGTAGAGTCATTTTTAAACAGAAAATGTAAGAAATTCGCACATAATACTTAAAAATATCCTTAAAATAAAAAAGCTAATAAAAGTGACGGCTCATGGGGTCATAGACATGTCCAAATGTCTATAAGTGTGAGAAAAAAAAATGTGTTGTCTGTCACACGAGTCATGACTAGACTTACTGTTTCGAAACTCGTACAAAACGTGAATGCGTGACATGTTTCAAACATTGCGTATCTCTAAATACATAGCTACGATGCAAGTATACGAATGTAGGTACATAGGTTGCACACACTTAAATTATAGTACTTAATCTTCAGTTTTAAGTACATCTATTTTCGTACAAGTATTTCACTTCTAGCCTATTGACAAAGTAAGATAACAATTATAGTGTGTAATGGTTATCTACGTCATAAGGACGTCATTATTTTAATTATGTCTCCGGTTATCTTATAATTCTATTTTTAACTTAATTCTTTCATTTCGCCGGGTAATTTTTAATTCTATTTTCAACTTAAACTTTAACATTAATTAATATGTTACATAACGTTTTTATTGTATTTGTGTCTATTGAAATGCCTATAAGATACATGTATGCAGATAAATGCGTAAAAGTAATTTATGGCTACTAGACATTCGAATTTAGCACTAGATTAAAGTCAAAATCAAAGATTTATTAAGTAATCCACATTCAGGCAATTCTGAAACGTCAGCATAGAATTGTTTAGCACTATTTTCGTCATTGTAGATACCTTCACAAATAGCTAATAATATTGCATTATTTAGTAACTACCCAAACACACTTTTCACAACATACATAACAAACATAACATCACGCCTTTTATCCACGAAAGGGTAGGCAGAGGTGCACATTATACCACTGTACAATGTAACACCCACTTTTCACTATTTATGTTATGAGTCCCATGTAATAGGGGGTGAGCCTATTGCCATACACTTTTCAATATACCCTAAAACACATCTTTAAACCCAATCTTTATCACCTTCCAGGTTCCATCTGCAACAACGACTCCCAATTCATATGCGGTGTGACCAGCCTCTGTATATCCTCATACCTCGTCTGTGATGGAGTTAGGCACTGCCCCGGAGGAGAGGATGAAGACCCATCAGCCTGCTCTCATAGGCATGATCCTCCACTTCTCGAACTCCTCAGAAGATTTGCTGCAAGAAACCAGGAGTTGTTGGGATTGGACCAGCCTGATGGAATGACAAAACCTTCTGTTATAAGTAAGTGTTTTTGGGTGTTCTATGTAGTTGAAGTTGAAGATGTTTCTGTGGTTAGACTCATGTCGTGTCATGTCATGTCGTGGTGGCTCGGAGGTTCAAGCCTGCTTCTCACGCATGAGAGTTCGAAACCTACCAACGGCAAGTACCAATGTGACTTTTTCCGAGTTATATGTACATTATAAGATTATCTAGACACCACTGACTAACTGTGAAGGTAAACATCGTGAGGAAACCTGGACTTATAATTTCTAATTATAAGTTTGTTATCGCCAACACGCATTGAGCAAACGTGGTGATGAATGCTCAAACCTTATCCGTGTGAGAAGAGGCTTTGCTCAGCAGTGGGCATTTATAGGCTGTTGATGATGATGATGTTGTGGTTAGGCTAGGTATACTTGTAAGTAGGTTAATAGGCTACTAATTATGTATCTGTAAACATGCGACTAGCCTAGTAAACTAAGCTCAAAACGTCTGATACTTTCGTGCAACATTTAAATACAAGAGAATGTCAGTCGCAACTTTTTTTTCAAAGACAAAGCACTGGTAGTTTCCACAAAAATTGTCGGCATTATAAAACACTAGCTTTTACCCGCGGCTTCGCTCGTATCACAAAAGAATAAAAAGTAGCCTATATGACATATACCAATACACACAGCGCCATCTATACCAATACTTTGGTTTTTCCTCGGGAATATCAATTTTTTCCGGGTTAAAAAGTACCCTATTATTTAATCCGGACTTCTAACTTTACGTCTGCAAAAATTCAAAGCAATCGGTTGAGTAGTTACGGCGTGAAGGTGGAACAAACAAACAAACAAACAAACAAACAAACAAACAAACTCACTTTCAGATTTACAATATTAGTAAGGATAAGGAAGTAAGGATACGTAAACATGCAAAATTATAAAAATCATTATCCTTATTACCAATAGCTTGCAATGTCGGGGGAATGCCCGTTAAATTATCAATGGAAGTCAAAACAAACCATATTCGAGTCATTAACTATATTGTCATCTGTTTCCTCGTAAATTTCAATTAAGTTGACATACATAATGCAAAACAAATTATTATAAGTTGCTATATGTATAACTAGCTCTAGCCGTCCGCGTAGAATATGAATTTTAGAACATATCTTTTTTTTGTTTCAATTTTCCAAAATAAAAGTAGCAGCTACGTGCCAATAAGAGTCTTGCAAAATCAATCCAGCCATTCCCGAGAGAGAGAGTATTAGATCGAACAGACAAAATTTGGTATTAGTATCGTATGTATAATTCACGCATGTAGTAAAAAGTTATTTAAATATTACAAATAGACACTCTAATTATATTTATCTAGCCTATGTTACTCTTCAGTACATCAGCTACCTGCCAAAAGGCTTGCAAAATCAGTCCAGCCATTCCCGAGATTAGCCAGTACAAACATACAGACAAACAAAAATTGTAAAAAATGACATTTTGATATAATGTACCGTATGTATATTCATGTGCACGTAGTAAAAAGCGGTTATTTTAATATTACAAACAGACATTCCGATTTTATTTAACTGTATAGATGTACGCATAATTATTCAAGTACTATTGTCCTGCAAATATCATAATCGTACGTGGGTAATTAGTACACCGTCATTCATAAATGACGGGTAAAACTTAACAGTTCATTTGTCATGCATGTGCCACTGATTCATTGTGTTACATTTTTACTTTTACCTCCGACGGGGCAACAGTGCACTGTATCGAGTCGATACTATCGACACGACTTCAGTCGCGTTAGTCGGTTTAATCAGTGATATTTAAAAAAAAGTGTTAAAGTTATTAAATTTCGTTTAAAGTGTAAAAACAAATGATGAACAACAACAACAGAACACGTGAGTGGTTATCCTTTTGTCATTTGCGAATTGATTACACGGTAATTTAAAAGGTCTTAGTTTAAAAATTTAAATGGTATTGTTAATGCGTTCTTGTTTAATCTGTTGTAGATTCTTTTGTGTACGTTGCTAGATATCATAATTTCTGTACCTACTTCAAGTTTTATGACATCAGTTAAACATTGTGAACTTTTCTATCCGTTATTTTTAAATTTCGAACGTTAAGTTTCGGTTGGATGATATACCTATCTATCTGCTTTTTAGGCTACCCTTTGAATAAAAAAATGTTATAGTCTATTTAGAAGTGCAATTCTCAATAACGGCTATACCAATTTTGAAATTACTTTCTTACAAATACCAATTAAAATTTTGAAACGTTTTTTATGAGATAAGCCGGTAAACGAGCAGATGGATCACCTGATGGTAAGCAATCGGCGTCCCCCATGGACATCTGGAACGCCAGAGGCGTTACAAGTGTGTTACCGGCCTTTTGGGGATTAGGAGTTTAAGTATCGTTGGGGATTCAGGGATTGGAGAGATCGGGGAAGGGAGGGAGGTAATTGGGCCTTCGGTAACCTCACTAACACGACGAAACACAACGCAAGCGTGGTTTTACGTCGGTTTTCTGTGAGGCCGTGGTATCACTCCGGTCGAGCCAGGCCATTCGTCCCCACGTGAACGTCATCATTTTGATCAAACTAGTTAGTAAAATAGTAATAAGCCCAATTGTTCAATATGGACCGCAGATTGTAACTGATAACAGGCGATTTGACCCTTTCAGTGAAGATCAGTGAGAGTGAGAAGCCGTCGAACGCTTTCATGGAGTTCGCAGCTGCACTGAAGCCGTACGGACCTTGGAGCTACCTGGTGGTCGGCATGCTGGTCTGCGCTACTATACTCATGTTCTGCCTGGCTTGGGGTGAGTTGAAAACGGGATTATTTTTACTAGTGTGTTAAAAGACTACTCGAATACGTATGTAGGTAGTTTACGAAGTTTTGTTATGATTTTATGATCAGTGGGTAAGGCTAATTGTAGTGGGATGTTGAATACAAAAAAAACCTTTAAGAAGTTGCCAGATGTGCGCATTGTAAAGTGCTACGTTTACCATCGCCAGTTATGTTACAAGTCCCATGTAATGCAGACTGACAAAGAGATGTTCCTTCATTTACTTACAGAAAAAAAAATCAGAAACAAAAATTATTTACCCACTTTTTACGTCATTTCTGGAGCCTCTTGACTCCCGAACTAATATTTCCCAAACAGTTTGTGACCACTAAGAATGTTACACGTTATCCCCTATATAAAATGTTACCATTTCACCTTCCAGAGTGTTGCTGCAAACGCTCCAAGCCGTCAGACACGCCAGTCAACATACCGCCATCTTGTATCGATCTCTCGCCAACTGTCACAGTGACAGCCGCATCACAGCAACTCTTCACCCAACCCCTTCCCCCATCCCCCCCTGAATACGAACCACCCCCATCCTATTCCTCGTTATTCCCCCGAGCCTTTAAATCATCCCCTACGCCAGTACCACACTGCTCACACCAAGAACCTCCGGATTGAATTCACAAACTCAGTTCTAGTAGTTCTTAAGTAGATTATTACAATTCTCTAGTATTAAGAATAGTGGTGAAAAGACAGTGTTTGACACAGAAATGTAATTTAAATTAAGCAAAAATGTTATTGGTTTGCTCAGGGACTGGTGAATTGTGATTGGTTGTGAAAATAGAACTGTTTTGAAAATAACCGTTGCGTTTCTAGCATTATGGGTTTTTTGATAAAATTCAATTGCATAGTTACCAGTTTCAGTTGCCATTTAATTCAGATCTTCGTCGGTCTCTAAAGATCGGTGCCAGAAAGATATCTAGGTACTTCCAATCACCATTTACCAGTCTTTCTAAAGCAAATGATCTAAGCAACCAAGAAAATTGGACTGACTTGGTTGTCGTACTAAAACAATGACCTACCAATGCCTACCATACATACAAACTTGATTAGAACATGACGTATTTTCATAAAAATGATGACTCATTTATACAGCTTTACTTTTTTTTAATCTACATTGAATTTTAACAAGATTTATTTACAATCAATCAATTTTTGTATCTATTGCTACAAACGAAAAGCCTTGATCGCCCTGGTCTAGTATTTTGTCGAGCAGCGAGTGTTTAGTATATCCCTCTCGCTTCTGTCACAAAATCGAAGCGAGAGAGTTGCTAAATACTCGCTACTAAACTAAAATAAATAATAATGCCAACAAGGCATAAGAGACAAAGGAGAATACACGCAGAATTTTTTGCTACTTTTTTTTAATACCATATTTAAGTCTAGAACATAGAGTTCAAATTTGAATATATACCTAAACTGTAAACAAGGCTTGTTAAAATGTTCTTATGTGATTTTATATGGAGTGTACACAACTACCAATGAATAAACACATTTGGAATTATAGGTTGACGCATTTCTATAGGTTTTATGAGTGACGAGATCGTTCTTTAGCAGTCAATAATTCCAAATGTAACTCTTTATACTCAGTAAATAAAGGTCAATTTGGCATGTAATTAATTTATAGTCATATCCTATTTGCCAGTTTAAAGCTAACAGGATAACTGTTTCTAACAAGTAGTGAAGAAGCTCTTGAGAATGATTACAAACAATATTTCAAAGAAAATATTAATTATAGGTGGTGACTTTCTATTTGACGAGCGAGGAATGAAATAGACCAATTAAACGTTAGGGACATCTTTTCTTTGAAATTTGAGTTCGCATATTTTCGAGGTGTTTGAATTTAGAACTACGATTGACACTTTCTCTTTCTTTCTGTCTTACTAAAACTTGTCTATTACCTGTGCGTTGAGCGTACTACTACGTGACCTAGGTCCTAGTAAATTACTTGGGACAACGGTGTAAATTAATATGACAATGATATGTAAATCAATATGAAAAATTAAATACAGAAAATTGACCTTCTGTTTACTAAAAAAACTTAATATCATAGGTTTAATCAATAGGTATGGGTTTAATACCAATGAACAGACACTATCATAGGATATTAATAGATATTTTATAATTTCAATTTTATTAATGTGTTAAAAGTACAGATGGTAGCTAAGACAAACGCCATGTAGTTACAAGTACAATAGGTTATTATTGCGTATTTTAATATATTTTTCACGTTATTACACATAAGGTTGGCATTATATTAATATTACTACATTATTGTTATTAAAATCTAATAGTTTTGGGACCAAATACCTTTATGAGATTTACTCATTAACTTCACAAGTTAAGAAAAAGAAATGTGGTGCACCTGGATAAAAGTGCCTTATAGTATCTGTATACATTTATAAAAAAAAATATCTGTGTATTTGAAAAATTGGCGGGAATGATGACATTTGCGCAGTGTGCAATTTTTTTATCTGTGTTACTGTTATTTTATTCTATATAATGTATTTTTTTTAAATAATAGATTGTGTTTGACACGACATAATAATTGGTACACCGTTTGACCATTTTTTTCAATAAGTTTGAAAACGACAGTGTTGATTGTTGACTAAATTAAAAGTTTATGACAAAAAATGCATGTTATAAAACGTACAACCATTGAATAACTTGCAGTTTCTAAAAATACTTTATCTTTTTTCTTAGCCCAAATGAAGAATTTGAAATTGTTACAAATTCATATTATTTATCTTTCTTTTTTTGTCATTGGCCATTTCTGTAGTGTGATAATCAATCAATTTAATGAAGCGTGTCTGTGCTAAATAAAGTTTTACTAGTCTTCTTAGAATCTTTATAACTTTCATTATTTTATTAGTATTTTACTTTAATACTTGTATTAATTAGATTTTGTTAAATATTAGTTCATAAAGTGAATTCCAATGTAAGAAAAGAAGTGATATGTATTATAGTAAAATATTAACAAAAACATATTATAAAATATTTATTTTACTATTTGCGTTTTATTTTCTGCTGTAGTTACCCTTTCAGTTTAAATGGGTATCAAATACAATAACAATAGTATGCAAGAGGTTAAATAAAAGTTTCATAAAATAGACTAGACATCATTAATCGAGCGGCCACAATGTGACTGCTGCTGAGCAATAGGTTCAATTCCCTGTTCAAATCCTATGGTGGAACCGATCAAGATGTCAATCAAGATCAAGATGATCAAAAATTTAACCTGGATTATTTGCAATGCACTTTTTGCAGATGTACATGCAATTTCGTCTAAAAATAACGACTATGACATATCGATAGGTGCCCAAGCGAAATCTCCTATTTACGGATAATTATAAACAGCTTAGGGCAGGAGATTATGGAAAGTTCCTAAAGAGTATTAGGCCCACAAACAATATAAAAACTGCTTGCTCTACTTTCACGCGGTGTGGAAATTAATTTTTCCCAAAATGGTCAGAAAAATGAATTTTGCTGTGCTCTGGCGCCAAAACTACTTCTTATATTACAAAAAACCTGCCTAGATATAAATTGTAAGAAATTGTGAGTAGTTTCATTAAAAAGTCAACGTTATCTTATAAAATGCACAGGATCGCATTTGTCCAGGATTGTGGCGCGAGCAGCGCACGTACGAGGGTGCAAAATGGAAATCTGAAACAACACAATGACATCAAAATCTACAAAATTGCCAATTTCAAAACTCCCGGAAAACTTGTATGTTTGTAAACGGACCCCCGACCCAGGAGAAAATCCTAGTGTGGAACAACGTCTTGATTAACATAAAAAACAAAAGTAGTTTTGTATTCCATGAGACAAATCATAAAAAATATGTTTAGGTTGAAAAATCATTTATTAACATTGAATTTTGGTATGGTTTGGTGGAAAAAAAATTAGGCCCTGATACAAAAAGAAAATCTTTAAAAAGTATTATTCTGTAATTTTTTTGCTGACTTTTAATATTAATACTGCATCCATTGGCTTATTAGACTCGTATCTAAAGCACTGAACTGATTTAAAATATAGTTAAAAGGCAGGTTGACAGGTGGACACTGAAGTTGACATTGTCATGTCATGAATGACAATTGTCTCGTTTTGATCAATATTATTGAGGAAGATCAACAATGTTTACAAAAAATTGTTTTGTTCGTTTTACAACATTTTCAAGCAAAATTAATTGATTTAATTGTTGTAAAAATATGTATGTGTGAAAGAATATTCCTATAAACTAGACTAGCCTAGACTGTTACCAAATAACAGTGTGAACAGTGCACTACAATCTGAACTAGGAATTTGATTGTGATCGTATAATATTGTTACCTATGTGTATTTCAACACAAAATGAGTGAACAAAAGAAGAATATTAACTGTCGAATATGTTTACGATGCGATTTAAACAAAGAACATAAAACATTCTCATTGTTTGAGAAGTACAATCACTCTATAATATCAGACAAAATTAAATATATAGCCAACATCGAAATTAAACCGAATGATGGCTTGCCAGCAACAGTATGCCCTGACTGCCTACTACAGCTCGAGACTGCGATTATCATCAAACAGAAATGTGAAGCATCTAACAAAATCCTACAGACTGTTGTACAGCAGCCTTCTAAAGTATGTAAAGTGTCTATCAAACTTCCGTTTAAAAAGGAAGTACATGTAGATAACGCAAATAAGAGGTTGAATACCACAACATCGTGTCCTACAATACCGGAACATAAGACTGGCCAACACTTGAACAGTAAACAAGATCAACAAAGTAATTCTAAATCAAACAAAGCTAAGGTTGAAAGATTAGAGAGCAAAATAGAAAAACCTTCTCAGGCCAAAAAAGAATCAGTTATAAAGGAAACCAAACCATTATTTGTAAAAGTAGAGATTCCAAACCATTTATGTATAATACCTTTAAATGAAAATTATGAATCTATGAATGAAATAGAACAACCAGATGATGACATAGTATCTGATCATGAGGGACCCATAAATGACTCAACAGGACAAGCAGAAACACTACCAGAAGATACACTTGACAAAACAAATGAGGTTGATCCTAAAAAAACAAATGGAGAAAAAAAAAGTAAAGCCATAGACTTACAGTTAATATGTGATGACTGTGGTGAAACATTTAAAACCAAATGTAAACTCAGTGTGCATTGGAAGAAGGATCACCTGCATGAAAAGTTGATATGCTCTAACTGCAAACGGACTTTCAAAACTTTTAAAGCTCTCAATGTGCATCGTAAAAAAATGAGCAGAAGTTGTTATGCTGCTACTCTAGTCCGTATTGAAGGTCTGGGGAAGGATAGAGTATTTCACTGCAAAGATTGTACCTATCACACTAAAAACATCAAAGACATAGATGCTCATTTAGTTACACACAATGGTATTCGGCGATATCAATGCAAGGATTGTTTGAAATGGTTCACCCAACACAGCTCGCTACAAGGACACAGGGAAGCGCATCACAATGATTATAAAAAAGTAGGCACTTGCCAATACTGTGGCAAACACATAAAAGGCCGCAACAAATTGTACAAACACTTAGTAAATCATGAATCAAAGTCCGTGCAATGTGAGATTTGTAAGAAAATATTAAAAAATCGTAG